ATTTAAAGTTAAATTTATAACTTGAACAAGTTCGTTTTCCAGAAAGCTTAATTCCCGTACGCTCTAAATTTTAGAAAACGTTTACACACGTAACAAACTATCAGAAATAATGAAATTTAAACAAAAGTAAGTTTTTGAAACGTAAGTTGTAGTTCTTTATTGTTCGACAAAATTCAACTACGATATGAGCAAAAATATTCACACATGACATTCGGAAATGGTATATATAAGTATGGCTTTACAAAGGTTTATGTACAGTGAAATAAAATATATTTTCTTTTTAGACACAAATATAAATCTTTTGAAAACAACAGAAAAATAACCTTTGTTGGATTTAACGAAACCTAAATGTTAGCGATAAAAATGAACACTTTTGGAATAATTCCTACAAGTTCTGAATTTCAATTTTTCCGAGTTATAATTTGTTATGCACTTTTATCGCCATGACGTTTCTTTGTATGTGTTATTATTCATTGTTTAGACAGCAACAACAAATACTTATCATTCATTTTACAATAACAGGTTCACACTCAACACACTGACTAATGCAAAACCATTCAGTAGCCCAGTGTTGAATTTGTACTTATAGGAACGTCCATCTTGAATATGGGGTTCCCAATAGTATGAATCATTAACATACTGACGGATAAACACAACAGCTTCATGATAAAACCCGGAAGAGCCTGAAAAAAAGCAAATGTTGTTTTAATAACGGTTAATACCAAGTTGATTTATAAATATGATAACACAGTTCGTCGTGGAGATTGTTTTTGAAGAATAAGCTTTATTTAAATAGTAATTTTCGCGATCACTTTATTGTTTGTTTGTTTGTTTTGAATTTCGCGCAAAGCTACACGAGGGCTATCTGCGCTAGCCGTCCCTAATTTAGCAGTGTAAGACTAGAGGGAAGGCAGCTAGTCATCACCACCCACCGCCAACTCTTGGGCTACTCTTTTACCAACGAATAGTGGGATTGACCGTCACATTATAACGCCCCCACGGCTGAAAGGACGAGCATGTTTGGTGGCGATCACTTGACGACTACATTTAGAAGGTGAAATCGCATTTGAGTCCTTCCTAGTTTTAAACAAAACATGAAAACATTAATTAATGTGATTTTGAGTTCCGAATTGACAATAGTTTATACTGTGTAGTTTATTATATTTTAATTATAAATCATCGTCAAGCTACAACGATGTTAAAATAGAACCATGAAATGAAGCTAAAGTATTAAAACCCAAAACGGCCACTTTGGCTCTTAAAATGTTTCATGAGATTCTTTAACGGGGAACGTTGGGTTATTTTGGTAGAGCATTGCACGTTTTTTTTTTTTTTTCTGGATAATATACTTAAGAACAAATGTCTTTAATAAGAATATGTGCCATGGGAGGGTTTATTTGTTTGTTTGTAATTAAGTACAAAAAACTACACAATGGGCTATGTGTGCTCTGCCCACCACAGGTATCGAAACCCGGTTTCTAGCTTTGTAAATCCGCAGACATTCCGCTGTGCCACTGGGGGCGCCATGGGAGGGAAAGACTCGCATACGAAAGTCTGACGGTTTTCACGGCTCTATTTGTAAGGATTAAATAATATTTAAACAGAATAATTTAAAAGTTGGCTATTAACAAAGGTAGGTGGATAGGACGCTCGAATCGCAATCTGTGGGTCGCGGGTTCGAATTCCCGTCACACCAAACATGCTCCACTTTTAGCCGTGGGGGGGGGGCGGTATATGGGACGGTCAATCTCCCTATTCGCTGGTCAAAG